ATTAAAAAAAAATTAAAAAAAAATTAAAAAAAAATTAAAAAAAAAAAAAAAAAATTAAAAAAAAAAAAAATTTTAATTTAATTTGTTAAATTTATAAATTAAAAAAAATTAAAAAAAAAAAGGTTAAAAAAAATTATTTGAAGTGATGTTCAATTTTTTTTAAAAAAAATATCCATATAAATAGATTATAATTTTAAAAAACTAAATAATAAAAAAATTAATACATAATTAAATAAATAAATAGACTCTCTTTTTTTTTTTTTTATAAAATTTTTTTTTTTTTTTTTTTTTTTTTTAAATTTTCTCATATTTTTTTTAAAATTTTTTTCTTTTTTTTTTTTTATTTATCAATTTACAAATATAATAAAATGAGCGAATCAAAAGACAAGAAATCACAATTATTTCTTTTAAAAAACGCATTTTATAAAGATTATAAATTTTCAAATGTACGAGATTCCCAATAAATTATAATTATAATAATATCAATATCTCTCGTTTTTTTTTTTTTTTAATATTATTTTTACGCAATTATATTAATTTTTTGAATTCAATCATATAGAAAGAAATTTTACAAAATGTTCATTGGTTAAGACATATTATTAGTATTATTGTTGGTATTGTTATGGGTGTTTTATCAGTTACAGGTTATCCAGGTTTCATTGCATATTTAGTATCAACTTGTGGCTTTGTTGCTTTTTATTATTCAAAGTTTTTAGAAATTGATGAAGACGAATTTAAATGGGAATTATTACAAGAAGGTTTTATGTCATCATTAACACTTTTTGCTGTATGTATAATCAGTTTTTTAAAAAAAAAAGTAATATCAATTCCTAAATTTATTAATAATTATTATAATTATATTTTTTTAAAATAGTTTTCATGGATCCTTTTATATAATATTTTACATGTATAAACATTTTATAGAAATAAATTATTTTAAAATGTATTTTTTAACCTTTTTTAATTTTATTTAATGTAATTTAAAATTTTTAAATTTTTTATTTAATTTTTTTTACCTTTTTTTTATTTATTTTTTTATAACTATTATTTCTTTTATTTTTAAAACAATAATGTATAGCAATAGTGATAATAACATTAATAATAATAATAACAATAACAATAATGGCAATAATAATATATTTAAAAGACCACCAAAACAAACAAATACACAACATTTTCAATACCCACATCAAGGTGGAATCAAACAAAATTTAAACCAAAAAAGAAAAGTACCAGAACCAATTGAAAATAATTTTAGGGATGATAAAAATAACAATAATATAATATATGATAATTTTCAAAATGATATTCGATATAATGACCTAAATAAAAATCACTCCCCAACAAAAAGGTAATTCAAAAAAAAAAAAAAAGAACAGAAATTTAGTTTTTTTAATAATGTTTTTCACATTATTTTTTTAAAGAAAAACAAAATATTAACAAAATAATTTATTAAAATAGATCTAAAACCCAAATAGAAGCCCCAAATATTGAACAACCAATAAATAAAAACTTTACCAGAAATGAAGTTTATAAAGATATTTTAAAGTTCACAGAATTTCTTTCAAATGTTGAACAATTAAATTCAGATTTAAAAGAATCAAAAGATACCCTAAATTCAATTCAATTAGATTTAAGTATTTTAGAAACTAGACTGAAAGGTTTAATTGGTTTAAATTCTATTGTAATGCTTCAAAAACAACAACAACAACAACAACAACAATAAAAACCTTAACAATAATTATTTATAAATTAGCAAAATAGTAATTAATAAAATATAAAAATTCATTAGATCAAAAAATAAATAAACAAATTGAAAAGTTTAGAATTATAATTGCTAACTCTGATATTTTGTTTTAAAATTTTTTAAAAAAAAAAATAAAAAAATAAAAAAAATAAAAAAAATAAAAAAAAAATAAAAAAAATAAAAAAAAAATAAAAAAATAAATAAAAAAAACTTAAAAAAAGAGGATATAATTGTTGTTTTTTTGGTGATTTATATATTAATAAATATATATAAATATATAAAGCATGTTGCTAACACCACAATACTATTTATTATTTTATGTATAAAAAATATTATACTTTTTAAACAAGATAGATGTAAAATTTGAAAAAAAAATTATTATACATCTCTTAATTTAAAATTAAATTATTTTTTGTATATTGTATATTTGATGATTGCATTTGACTATAGTAGTACAACACAGGGGAGGGGGGTAAAAAATACTTGAGATTTATAGAGAAGAGCGGTGGCCAATTAAGCGATATAAAAAAAAAAACCAAATTCTTATATATATAAAAAAAAAAAAACACTATTATATGATGTATATATAATTTTCTATTACTAACTACTACTATATAAAATTGTTGGCAATAGTTTTAACACATTGGAGATACCATTTGAACATGATAATTTATAGATGATTCTTTCATCTTTTGTTGTAATTGTTGTTGTTGATTTGAAGCTTGTTGGTGTTGGTATCTTTGATTTGTAAGTTGTTTTTTAGTTGGATGACTATTATTATAAGAATTTGAATTTATATTTGTATTGTTATTATTTAAATTTATATTATTATTATTATTTACTATATTTATATTATTGGTATTGGTATTATTGTTAATTATATTTGTATTGTTTATATTATTGTTATTTATTATATTGTTTTTTTGTTGTTGAAAATTTTGAATTTGTTCTTCATGTTGTTTCTTTTGTGACTCTAATTTTTCTAAATGTTGCTTTTGGGCTAATTGAAGTTGGTCGAAATGTTTTTTATGAATTAAAGTTTGTTGGTATTTGGCTAAGTCAGCTGGCATAACAAAAATTTGTGGTTGAACAAATTGATGTTTGAAGCTTGATAAAAAGATGTTTTGGTTTTCATAAAGTTGGATGAGGAAATTGTTTACGTGGGTGCTATTTAAAAAGAGGTTATAGTCGACACCGAGTAAGAATCTTCTTTCCATTAAATTCATATCTTTAAGTGAAAAATTAAAAATTTCAGCAATGATTGCATTATTTACTTGAGTTGATTCTGACCAGAATTTTAATGAGACAACAGTACTATTTATTTTTAAATGAAAACAAGTTAATTAAATGTATTTTTGTTTTGTATAAATATAATAGTTATCTATTTACCTTGTTAATAATAAATTAAATAATTGATTATGTTTAATACCACTTCTGGTAACAAATTTATCAGCATACATAATAATTGGGATTAAAAGATTTGATGAACACTTCATCATATCTAAAATTGCTAAGACAATATCAAAGATTTCATCAATAGCAAGAAGAACTTCATTTCTAAAAGCAGTGGATTCATAAGCTGGATCGTAACTAATTAACCAACCATATACTTTATATGAAGCAATAATTTTTTCTTGGCAAACTGTTTTTGGTTGAGAACTTCTCATTTGTAATAATCTTCTGAACATTCTTTGGTAATTATTTGTTTTTGGTGGTTGTGTATTATTTATATTTTTATTATCAACTTGAGTTGTAGTAGTAGTATTATTACTATTATTATTATTATTATTTTTTGATTCCATTTTTATTTATTTATATTATATTATTTAAATATTTATTTATTTTATTATTTAAAAAATTTTAACGAACTTTGATGATTTTACTAATTTGGGCGAAATAAAATATATTAATATATTTGCACAACAATTGTAAATATTTTTATAAAAATAATTAATTTGACAAATAAAAATTATTTATTATTTTTTTTAAAAAAAAATAGGATTTGATAGGTTGAAGATTTTTAATTATAAAAGGATAAAAAAAAACAAAAATAAATTTTAAAATTTTTTTATATAACTATTTTAAAAAAAAAAACAAACTATAACAAAAATTATTATTATTATAAAATGGTTTTTGTATGTGTGACTATTATTAATTTAATAAATGTATATGAAAATGTGAATGTGAATCGATTGATATTTCTCAGTATATCAAACTGTTAACTATTTATATATTTAAAATATATTTGAATGTGTGGGTGGTTGATGTCGATGAAGGGGTATTTTTTTTTTTTTTTAAAAATTTAATTTTTTTTTAAAAAAAAAAAAAAGATATATATGATTATATGTGTTTATTTAAAAAAAGGTAGATGAAGGAGTGTGTTTGTATAAAAAAAAAATATGTATGTTTAATATTTTTTTTTTTTTTATAAATGTTGGAGGAGAAGACAACGAATTATAATTATTGTGATTTGAAAAATATAATTTATATTTTTTTTTTTTTTAAAATATGTTTATAAAAATTTTATTATATATATAATTTAAAAAAATTTTAACACAATAGTAAATAAAAATTTATATTTATATAATATATAATAATATAAAAATTATTTAAAACAAAAAAAAAAAATAAAATTATTATTTAGATATATTTATTGTTTTTTTGTATTGATTAAAAATAAAAAAAAAAATAAATAAAATAGAAAAAAAAAAAATAAAAAAAAATAAAAAATAAAAAAATAAAATTAAATAGAAAAAAGATTTTTATTTTGGCGTGAGTAGAGCCCTGCAAAGC